ATAACAGCTAAGCATTAAGTTTAAATCGAGTAATTATTCTACACAGTTTTGAATTTGTGGTGTATTTGCGTTACTAGTCATAAACTGAAGCGTCAGTAAAGTAACAATGTTAGCCTCGTATCTCTGTGTTCCTTAACCCTGAGTCTTCTTCCATGGCGAGTACTGGGTGAGTTAAATCTGTAAACAATTCTTAAAGAAGTTGTATTTTGTTGTTGTTAATATTGAGAGTGTCTGTCTGTATTTAAGTGTTCTTATTGGAAGGTGATTTTACTGTACATATATTATGTAACCTATTGTATGAAAACTGTATCCGCTATATTTCATTCTTATAGTACCGGGTATATCATATATTTTACTTTATTATTTATTTACAATCTGCAATATTCATAAATGTAGAAAATAACATCCAAATTCAAGGGAAAATAAAGTTAACATTTCTGTTTTCTGTTTATGTTATTTTTATTTATAACAAAATAAATATTATCTCGTATGGTAACAACCTAATATTACAGCAATATTTATTGATTTATTTATATTATATTCGCCATAAGTTTGTGATTGTTAATACATTTAGTTTTTATTTACATGATTCTACTTTCCATACTATAATGTCCGGCTGTTGGATGATTCACAGTTACCTGAGATGTGAAGTGAAGAATGTAAGTTAAAGAAGAGTTAGTGTAGTGAATCGGCAACACACCTAGAGCATCACTAGTCCACACGTTGCACTGCTGCATAACTCTGCAGCCTGCTGATATGTGATCATCTAGTGTTATAGTAATTATTATCACTCCAGGTATATAGTAATTATTATCACTCCTGGTAAATAATAATTGTTATCACTCCAGGTACATAGTAATTATTATCACTCCAGGTACATAGTAATTATTATCACTACAGGTACAGAGTAATTATCATCACTCCAGGTATAACATATTATAAGAATCTGTGCCTCTAACACCCTAAGTGGCAATTCTGTTACTTGTTAGAGTATAGACAATAAAAGATCATTCTTCAGGGTCATTATTTTCCCCTAATAATAAAGATTTTTAAGTGAAATTTTATCTTACGCCTCAATATATTCCAAAATGAACATTAAAATTTATTCCATAGGGTTAAATAAGTTTATTATGTCTTGTGGGGAGAATATTGATTTTTCCTTCCCAAGACATTAAAAAACATTTTTATAAGCCGATAAAAATACAGATACATCTAATCTCTTATCCTGGATAGAATTTGCGAAGTATTATCCCGCTACATTTATTGATACTATTTAAATATTCCACTGATATTCAGAAAACCCTGATCTCATAGTTAGTGGAAGTAATAACTGTACTGTATTAGCAAGTAAGTTATGGGCATTTCTACATCAAGTTTTACCATAAGAATAAGTAAGCGTCTTTTAATAATGTATCATTTTAACATTTATGTGAAAAGGGTAAATTTTAAACTGAGTAATTGAAAAAAAATCTTTGTCGGCATCTTTTTATTCATGTAGAGATAAAATGAAGATGTTTATAGTATATCATAAAATAACTTAAGTTGCACATCACAAAAAACAAACAACTACATTTCTTTTACACCTAACTGTAGAAATTGTTAATACAGTAGAGCTATGTGTTTATTATTATAATTCACATGTGTACATTACACTTTATTTACTCTTATACCACACTTGGTAAGTGATGTCAGGAGAGCGAAGTTGGGGTAAATCAAAGTTATTTTCACAGTCGTTTAAGTTTTATTATTACAACACAAGAATCACAAGACACAAACTGACGAAGAAGAGTTCAGGAAACTTAGTATTGGTGTATCTCATTTCTTTATGTTTACATTTATTTTCCATAACCTACACTCCCACCGTCATAGCCGCCGCCACTAGAACCGCCATAACCGCCACCGCTGGAGCCGCCATACCCACCACCACCACCGCTGGATCCGCCATACCCACCAACGCCGCCGCTGGAGCCGCAATACCTACCACCGCCGCCGCTGGAGCCGCCATACCCACCACCCACCAACGCCGCCGCTGGAGCCGCAATACCTACCACCGCCGCCGCTGGAGCCGCCATACCCACCACCGCCGCCGCTGTAGCTGCCATACCCGCCACCGCCGCCGCTGGAGCCGTCATGTCTGCCTCCGCTACCACCTCCATGGCCACCACCACCGCCACCACCATACCCGCCGCCATCACCTTCGCCACCGCCGCCACCACCATGCCCTTCTGGCTTGGCAGGGCAGGTCACAGCCAGGAGCCCCACCACCATGGTCACAAACAACTGCGTCTGAAATTGTCAGAGATAAACTATTTGTATTAAGGTTATTATTATCAGTTAATATAATGGTACTATAAATAAGTTCTTTTACCACAGAGATGTTAGGTCAGTTACTTTCTGTAAATCAACGAGAAAAGGTTTGCTTCACTGAAACTTCACTAACAATGACAGAGAAGAGTATTATTTATTTGAGTGCAAAAAACACGATATGTGTAACATTTGTCTGATATAAAGTTTTCTTTTGCACATAATTTACTACGGTGAAGCTGGAAACCATTAGTTCAAAATATAATTTTCAAATCTGTCTTGAACTTGTGCCTATACCTTCACCTATACCAGCAACTCCTTTACTCGTCTTGCTGATGAGCTGAACTGTTATTAATAAGATAAGTGAAGAATGCACTTATAGAAGACGATGATAAATTACTTAATTCATAATAAGTCTTACCATACCGATGTTGGGAGGATCAAGTTCAGTTGTTGACTGTATGAAGAGAAGTCTAGGTGAGTGCTTTTATACCTCCCTCAGGTGATGGCTGACTGCATGACTGTTTCCTCATTAGTCAGTTAAGCTCCACTAACCAATTGAGTAACACAAACTTCATATTTGAAAAGATTAAATTTGTTAACTTCTGCTATATAACAGGCGGCACCTCATGGAGCTTTGTCACTTATGAAAATCTTTGAGTGTTGTGAAAAAGCTGCAGAAATTATCCCATTTGTGAGCCTTCATTGCCAGCCCCTTGGAGAACGACCTTCACGTTGTGTCTGGGGATCATAAGGGTAGAGCATTTGAAGGTAATATTTATAGTCCTTAAATCCATTTTTAGCTTTGAAAATTCCTTAGAAAAATAAAGGTTATCTTATTTGCCTTAAACACACAAACCCCACTGCTATTCTGTTCCCCTGACATTATTAACGGAGCGGATAACAGTAATCCTGTAAATCATAAATGATCATACAAGCATGAAATTTCATATAAACATTAAAAATGGGTTACTTATCAAATCTATCCGATTGAACATTAAAAATTCCAAGATGTAGCCATTTTCCAAGATGGCCGCCAAATTTGCCAAACTGAAAACAATTTGTACATATATTGGCCTATTATTGGGCAATCTGTGCACATAAGGTGTTTTTTCTTATGTTTTAAAGCATGCTGGAACAGATTATGATTGTTTTGGAACACTCAGATATGTCTTGTATGCATAAAGTAGCGGTTCAACGCATATTTTTACCTCTTTTCATAAAATGTGTAAGCAATTCTCAGTTAAACAATGAGAAACATGTTTATCTTTTGCTCATATCCTTGTGAGATATTGCTATAAGAATTCTTTCATATTTACAGCTGCTGGTATGTGCATGCACACAGAGCTGTGCAAGTGGGACCTGAGCTGATACATTTACATCGCTATCCACAGTCTTTCTTGCAAGAACACTTGGTCAGTTCTTGACAACTCGCTGCCCCAGTTAGCAGGACTTGGAATGTCTGATTGTGCTGCAGTTACCTGACCTCCAAATCATTCCACCTTGATAGGCTGCACGCTTTACATGGTGGACTAACCCTGTCTTACATCACCACCACAAACCTTTCTAAGACACGGAGGTCTTCTTCACTAACTGATGTAAGACACTGACTGAGTTTGATGAAGGTACTGGAGAACTCGTTTAACACATTCCATGTTTGCCATGCAGGCTTCTTACCTTTTCCAAGGAAGGCTGACACAACATCACAACCACCGAATGCATGGAAAAATGTGATTCTAGTGGCTTTTTCAGGCTCTATGGCTACAACTAACTCATGAACAGGAATCCATCTTGTATAAGTCCCTAAGCCCCATGACCATAAGAAATCCACATTTCTCCAAGACCAATGATATCTGTGTCATTGGCTTTTATGAGAACTCATTTTACTGCCTTCCATTACAGCTTGTCTTGCTTGTACAAAGAGGCGGGTATCTGCCTCTTCATGGGAGCATGGCATCAACTCTTCTAGAGACGTATTATGGTTGCTAATGACATAGCAACAACTGACTTGGATGCTCCATGCTGAATTTGTGATTTATTATCTGTACCATGTTCACTCATAACTGATGAAGGAGCTGCATATTCGATACTTCTATCATCAAGTATGGTTAGGAATTTTGACTAGTGTTTGAGCATATTCTGCCTTATTATTTTCTCAGCCTTGGCCAAATGAACAGCTTCAATGTATTTGCCAACCTCAGCCTGGATGGAGCCTACATCCTCTTGGAATGCTAGCAAAACATCTCTTCCTTGACTGTGAGCTCCCAGTTGAGGAATATGTGAAACTAATTGGTTCTTAAGCCTAGTAGAATAAATTTCAGGCGATTCGACACCAAGTTGTTCGAGTCTTTGCTTGTACAGTAAGACTAAGTCTGCTAGTCTAAAAATTGTTCCATGAGAACCTTCACATGCAGTTTTTGTCTCATTGATGTATGTCACCAATTCAGAGAAAGCCAGTGAATATTCATCTTTTTTTCATGGTTCTTTGTGTTTTTTTCGTATCCTTTGCACTAAGATAAGCTCTTTCTCTATTGTACAGTGCAGCTCAGCAAGCAGGGTAAAATTTCACCTCTTGTGCCACTACATCTCTTGCACTAAGTTAGCAAGGGATCTTTTGTCACTGAGTCTTTTTGCACATTCATTGACGCTGTCACTGAGTTTCATTGTCATTGTTTGACGGAGAGCACTCTCTGGTGCTGGTTTGTCACACAAAAAGCATTCTGTTGTGTTTTTTGTGTCTCTTGGCTTTCATAGCACCTTACTTCGGCAACCTTCATCACTGTCAACTACAGAGGTGGTTGCTCTTTTTGGGCTCTTTGCAACATTATGTTGCTCACCTAAATCTACAGCTCCCATGATATTTGGCAGTATTTTTCCTCATTGTCTCTGCAATACCATCTCCATCATCTAGTGTTTCCATATCAAGCCTTATTGGAAGGGCATTGATTGAGTTGAAAAGAGGAATATTCTTGGCTAATTTGCTGTAGCCATCTTTCTCTCTTCTAGTAGCGTTAGTCCTTGGAGATTTAAGTTCTTCCTTTTTATATCATGACACAGACAGCACATGGCCCAGGATTACTTTTAGGACCAATATTCATCGCCATTGTGGTACAGAGTCGAATGTTTTTCCTTTTACCACTCTGTATCATGCGTACTTTCCTTCTATGAGATACAACTAGGTTTAATCAATTGATTGCCCTAACTTTAACCCCATTACTCTTGGCTCGGCTCTCCCAGGCTGGTACATTCTGTCAATTCTGGTGCGGCTACCTAACCTTATTTGAGGCTAATTAGGTAACACACGGACACACACACACACACACACACATATATATATCTATATATATATATATATATATATATATATATATATATATATATATATATATATATATATATATATATATATATATATATATATATATATATATAAATTAATCTTTAATATAAGTTTCGTACTTAGTTGACACTGAACCCCATTTTGAGTTTCACAGCAGTGTTGTCACCAGTGTGCCCTGGTAGTACATTGACATTTACTCTTTATAAGCATGTTTCCTTTGAATGCTCTCCATTTCAGAGTTTTCAACACAAAATTCAGGTTCTACGTACTCAAAAACACGGAAATCAACACTGAAATCACCTGAATTGATGAACACAATAAACTTTAATCCTAAAAGGAAAATCGGACATCCGCTTTTGGTGGCCATCTTGGAATTTTCATTGTCGAATGAGGGAGATTTGATAATTAACCCATGTTGAATCCTCATGCCAATTTTCAACACTTTGCCGCTCCTCTACCAGGTATCGTTGCCTCTGATGTAACTACTACTCGTATTACCTTTCACTCATTTATTATAATGAACTGTGAGTAACTAACAACTATTAAAAACTTGAAAATTGCGCCCTCGACTACTAACTGCAGTAACAAAGGACATAGAGATGAATTTTTTACCATAACTACATTGATATTAGGTTTTGAGGTAATTAATATAAGTATAATCCGAGTTTAACGATAGGAGCTATTTAATCCTCACTTACATAGGATGTACTGTACAGTCAATGAAAGAAAACGTTTATCATAGTTATCCACATATCCATTATCATGAGTGAGATCTAATTAAGGAAAGGAACTAACCTTAAATATTGTACACACTAATCAATAATTCAGGGATGAAGAAATGGTTCAGGGTGGGTGATTTATATCTGGAGTTCACTGCGACTCTCCAGGTTACAGGATTTATATCAATATTAAGCAGGTCTCACCTTCAGGAAGTTCTGGGTTGAGGCAGATAAATAGCATCAGTATTGTCCGTTTTTCTGGTGTTGGAATGGAGACTTAACTCATACATATCTATCATATTTAATTTCAGAAATGTAAATGGTGCCACCATATAAAATATATCATTGGACACTGAGGATGGAGTTTTCATTATTATTTGTCAGGAAAGGGGGAGTGTAAGAACTATTGTATATTTTATAGATGGAAAATATAGCAAGATATAATTAATACGGAGTAATATACAGTATAAGTAATAGAAACAGACCTGTTATTGAACTAAATTTTAGAAATTTATTGGAAAGATATATATATATATATATATATATATATATATATATATATATATATATATATATATATATATATATATATATATATATATATAAGAACATAAGAACATAAGAAAATAAGGAGTCTGCAATAGGCCGGTTGGCCTGTGCATGGCAGCTCCTGTCGAGAATTACTACCACTCTCTATCATCCATGAATCTATCTAGCCTCCTTTTGAAACTTTCCAGAGTTCCCGCACTTACTACAAAGTTGCTAAGCTTGTTCCACTCGTCCACCACCCTATTTGTGAACCAGTTTCTTCCTATCTCCCTCCTAAACCTACACTTATCCAACTTGAATCCGTTGC